CTGCAGAGAGGATTATGCTCTTTACAACCCCAACCCCCCCCCCCCCCCCCCTCTCTTGTCATTAAATTTATATTTTTGAAGTCAGGCTAGTCAGTTTTTCTTTTTCCCCCTTACAATTCTTATTGAAAATAATAATAATTTAGCTGATAAAATTATGTGCACATTGTTTATGGGTTAGGTGCAAGAAGGTGAGGAAAGCTAATCATATTTCCTTTCCTCTAAAAGAATTTGATGTGAAAGAGGAATGCAATCAAGATTCCTCTGCTGATTTCTTCTATAGCATTGAAATCAGGGATGCATATCTTCCACCATGGATAATTTGTAGTGTGTGCGAAGCCATGGGCTCCAAGGCAACAACCTTTGAGGCAAGGTATGAAATTCTTTTGCCTTGACAAAAATTCTAAGCAATTGGACCATTTTTGCAAAATCATTTAGTTATATAAAAAAAAAGATAACACTACACTATAATGAAATTCCACTTGTCAGACAACTTGTGGGTTTAGGTTGTCTCTGGGGTTTTCTTGCGGTGACTTAATTTAAAGTATCGCAGTGGCCGGTAAAAAATAATTGTTATTACTGGTTTTGATGGAGGTTGCTTGGATTGTTAGCTGTTATAAAGGTAACATACTGGTTATTATCTTAACTGGTAATAACACTATATTGGTAGTATGGATGTGGTCATAAGACCGTGTTTTTGGTCTAAATTAAACTGCTATAATTAGAACCTATGTTCACTTGGAACCTGCCTCGTTGAATTTGTGATCAGTAAACATTTTTTGAACTGTCAAAGAATGTTGCTTTCTCCTAACACCTAGTAAAATCATCCTCATTCTCCTTGCCTTAGTCTCATATGGACGGAGGCCACATAAATTCTACATATATATTTTTTTTCTCTCTCTATCATTTTGTATTACACGCCATCTCACCTATTATATTTAACTTTTTAATCATTGATTCATTTCTAATAACTTCATCCCATGTTAATTTTGGACGCCTTCTTTGTCTCTTCCCTTCTTTACAAATTAGTCATCCTCTTCTTACTTTGTGGATCTATAGATTTTCATTGTATGTGTAGGTACCATCAAAGTCTACTCTCCAACATTTTCTCATTAATAGGTGTCACTCCTAATTTTTCTCTTTTTTTAGTAACTCTATTTTATCCAGTCTTTTCGACTATCCATCTTAACATTCTCATTTCCGGTACATACTATTTTTAAAAGCCCAACACTTTTAATCATATCATCTTCCTTGCTTAATTTCATATAAATGGGGTTGGCAAACGTGATACACCCAGTAAAATGAGGGATATAAATTCTGAAAATCATGAGTTTACTTCACTACTTCCTTCTGATGGACGAATTACTTCAGAACTTGGCTCAATAAGTTAATTGTTATCGGATGATAATTGACTTAGATCAAGGCAAAATAAAATGATGAAGTTAATGGTCTCAACACATTTGGTTTATCTCTTTGTACCAGATGGCATCAGTTATTTAGTTTCATGTGTAACTTGGGATGTCATAATCTAGATCTGGATATAGTTTTTCCCAAGAGCCTGAGCACCATCTCCATCTACTAACTCGCAAAAGGGGGAAAAAAGTGAAAAAAAAAATTCTTTTTGTTTGCTTTATTTTTCCATGGATCCTACCCTCCAACTTTAGGGTCTTTTACTCTTCTGTGCACTTGCAAACATTCTTTTAGCCATTCCTGGAGACAATGCCAATAGGTATTACGGAGTATTATACAGAATAATATTTTTTTCAAGTGTATGCCATTTTGTTCTGTTTACTCATTCCTGTTGATTATCTAGTTGGTACCTTGTTGGCTTATGCATTTATTTGTGCAATATGCAGCTTTGTGACGGAACCCACCTCAATTGGGTTGAATGTTGGTCTTGAAATCGTTTGCAAGAAACCCGATCCTCAAGCTACAGCAGTAGAAGGGTTGCAAGAAACCAGTAATGCTTTTGGCATCCGAAACGCCATTCATTCTCCTAACTTGCATTCTGCCTTTTTAAAAGGCTTGAAGTACTGCAACGGTTCTTATACAGCTTCTCTTTCACCTGTCTGATATGCTTGTTTACCGTCACTTCTCATAGATGCAACCATGAATCTTAGTTTCTGTTCGCGCGGTTTTTGTTCCCTACGCCGGTCGATGGACTCTTCGCGGGTGTGCCAGAGTATTTGTACAAAATACCCAAAATATGTAATTGAACATCAGCCTATCCGTTTTTCCGATGGCTGACTCTCAGGCGATTGTGTGGGAGAGAGACTAGTAAGAACTCCCAGCAAGGTTCTTTTATGCCTTATTTGTAGCAAGGACTTTTTAGAGTGTCTAAAGAAATGCAACGGCTGATGAATGTTTGAATGGAATGGCCGAGTGAAGACAGGCGGCAAGAACTTAATCGATCGCCGGCCGAACGTGATGGCGAGAACTTAATCAATCGCCATCAGCCAAACACAATGGCAAGAATTTAATCGATCGCCACTGAAACGTGATAGCAAGAATTTAATCAATTGCCATCAGCCAAGTAATGACAAGAATTTAATCAATTGTCACTACGATTCAATGGCAAGAATTTAATCAATTGCCATTGAATTGAAAGCCTAACTAAAATTGCGTAATTAAAATTGGCAAAATTGAAATTGAAAGAAAGTAAATGGCTGAATCGAAATAGTTGACGAGGATCTAATCAATTGCCATTAAATTGAAATAAAGAAATTGATAGGAAAATGATGTAGAGTCAATTGAAAACATTTTAGATGAAATGTATGTTTTGTGGTGGTGCTGGACAATTGGAATAGGATTACATCTTTCCTATTTATAGAATTCTTTCTCAACTTATTTTCCTAACTTCTTGCTAGAAAATTTCCCATTCCCTTGATTTTCTTCACTTTGTTATTCAAACTAGGTCAAAATCCAATATTCTATTGCTTCTTATCTCGTCTTGCTCCTTGCTTCAATAGGAAAATTCTTGTTGAAAACTCTCTTTGAGCTAGTCAAATGTAAGTTGCTAGAATGTTGTTGAAAAGTTGCTAAGTTCTAGCAACTTCCTTTTATAAACTTGGCAGTCGTGTTCTATCTCAAGTGGCCCATCCTTTAGCGCCATGTCAAGGCCATTTGTCACAATTAGATTTGTTCACTTCATGCTGCCAACCTTCTATACATTTCTTCAAAGCTTTCCTTCTTTCATCAAACTAAACTTCCTATTTTATAGGAATTTAGTTATTGAGTTTCATCCAAACTCTAGCCTTTTCCTTTTCTGTTAACAGCCCATTTTGAAAAAAGTCAAATGTGAGTTGCTATATTTCAGCAACTGCCATATCATTAGGTGGCTGAAATATATCTTTCTATATTTGCTCCTAATATTTTCAAACTGGTCGATCCCTTTGACTCCATATTAGAAATACTTATTCGCTCTTATTGGTCCGCGTCATCGCTGAGATGGCTGCCAAGTTTTGGTGCCAACAAATGCCCCCCAAATTTCAAATGTCTTATCGGCCACTCAAGCCGATTAGATTTTTGGAATTTTTATAACATGAAAGAAACTTGCAGCCAACGAGCTTCTAGACTTTATTTCTTCCGGACCACCTCTAAGTTGCTCTTTATTTTGCGTCAACCAGGACTGGCCTATCTTAGTTCTTCTATTATTCCCACAAAGCTAGCTGATACCTCTCAAAATATTGGCCATTTATAAACCCATAATAGACCTCACCATTGAAGTTTCCCAACTCTACTAGTAAGGCATGATCATGATCGGCTAAGATCAGGTTGTTATGTAATGTCATTTGGGCCGATCTAACTGGCTTTTCTATTGAAAGAACAAAATTCTGCCAGTATGGAGCTTTTCTGATGGCTGACTTTCTTGAATTTTTAAACTCTTATGGAGCTTCTAAAAGTACGCCATCCCAAGTTTTTGAATAGTCATCTTCTTTAATGACTTCAGTTATATCAGCTGAAAATACCAAGAATGGTATTTCTTTTGTGGCCGATTTTTTATCTGCCAGGTAAGCTTTCAGAATGTCAGCGGCCATGATAGTCTGACTCCTCCTTAATTCTTTATTTGTCACCTCAACAACCGGCCGATGAAGTATTATCCTTGGCCAAAATACCTTTTTGATTAACCCCTCGGCCAGACTTTTTTTCATAATGGCCGATGCTGATCGCTTCATTTTATTCGTTCTTTTGAACAAAATAAAATTCTCTCCGTGTAGCACTGCATCGGCCATTCAAAATTTTGCATTAATTGGCCGATTTATTTTCTTCCACGAATTTCTTCTCCACTTAACCCTTTTTAGTTTCCTTCCCCGCTTTCTTTTCTTGAAATTCGGTTGAGGATGACGAGTTAAAAGAATTCTCTCAGCCAATGATGGTTCTGGCTAAGGATTAGATACCACTCTTAGCCAAGAATTCTGGTAATGTGGCCGATTTGATCCTCGGTTAATATGTTTCCATTCAGGGCAGCAACCATGTTGTATGAGAGCCTTGACATTTGGAATGGCTGATGGTGTCCTCTCGGCAACCTTAGGCTGATTCCCTTCACCAACCTTCCCTTTGGGAGCCTGGCCGATCACATTACTACCTGCAACGAAAAGATCATTGTCAACCCTAATGACTTCATCATTCGCTCCCTTTTTGGCCGATACGGTAGATGTTCGAGTGCCGGATGTGGCTGATTTTGGCTTTTTGTACATTGGTCGGCCTATTCCCCTAAGGCCATTACCATATTCTTGCTTAATAATATCAGTTACCTGAACCTTCTCGACCGTCGTTGGCTGATTGGGTTGATCAATGACTAGTCGATCCTGATTTACCACTAGCGGCTAGTTTGGTATCAACTGCCCCTAAATACTAAAGGTTTTGGCCGATATATTACTGGCGACTGATTTTCTGGTAATGGTTGATTGTAAATCGGCCAGCCTTGTGGCTAATTAGCCATCGGCTGCCCGCCGAATATCGAAGGTTGTGGCTAAAAATAATTTGGCCAGCCTTCTGGCTGATTAGCCATCAGTTGCCCTAAATACTGTTGCATTGTCTGAAACAAGTGTTTCTGGAATCCCAAATCTGTGGATGATGTTTTGTTCCATGAAATTAATCACTGTTTGCTGATCAACCACTTTGCAAGCCTTGGCCTCAACCCATTTAGTAAAATAATCTGTGGCAACAATCACCCAGTGATGGCCTTCGCTTGATGGTGGATTAATTTTACCAATAAGGTCAAGGCCCCAACCTCTGAATGGCCAAAGTTTGATTATTGGCTGTAATTCTTTTGCTGGTACATTTTGAATCGGCTCGTGTCTTTGACAAGCTTGACAACCTTTTGAGTAATCTATGCAATCTTTTCTCATTCTCGGCCAATAATATCCATACCTGCGAATCAGCCATCTCATTTTAATCCCAGCTTGGTGAGCCCCACAGCTGCCCTCATGTACCTCGGCCATAACCTGAAGTGATTCCTCCTTGCTTATGCATTGTAGTAGGAGCCCATCTTCTAACCCTTTTCTGTATAGATCCCCATCTAGAAGCACAAAGTTGATCGCTTTTCTTTTAATACTTCTATCAGCCTTGATGTTTGGATTTCGAAGAAACATTATAAATGGTATCCTCCAGTCATCGTCGGCCAAATCTTCTACATCAATTGTCCAAGTATCAAATAACATAGTATTTCTCAATTCGACCGATGGCAAAGATCTTCGTGTTATCTTTATCAACTGATCTTCTATTCCGGCTGGTACTCTTATTCCAGAGGCTGCTTGGGCCATGCTGTTGGCCTCCTTATTCTGCCCTCTCGGCCAGAACTTAAGTTGAACATTATCAAATTGATTAATTAATGAAGTGGCCAGAGAATGAAACGGCCTTAATTGCCAACTTAGGCACTTAAAATCTTCAGAAATTTGGCTAAGGACTAAGTTTGAATCTCCCAAAATCTTTACATCTCTAACAGCCATTTCAATTAAAATCTCCAGGCCGATTATAAGCGCTTCATATTCGGCCTGATTATTTGAACATTTAAAATCTAAAAAGAAAGATAATGAAGCCTTTCTGCCAGCTGGCGAAATAATAACAATACCTGCTCCTGCTCCATCAGCCGTGCTTGATCCATCAAACATCAAGATCCAAGGAGTTAAGAATATAGTTGATGACTCCAATTCATCATAAACCCATGGATCAATATCAGTTGAAGGATGATCGGCCAAAAAATCAGCCAGAACCCTTCCTTTTACTGATTTTTGTGGGACGTAGATAAAATTGAATTCCATCAAAGCCAAAGCCCACTTACCTATTCGGCCAGTGATCAATGGCCTTGATAGCATATACTTGATCACGTTAGTCTGACAAAGAATGGAAACATCAGCAGGCCGCATGTATACTCTCAACTTCATGGCCGAATAGTATAAAGATAAACAAAGCTTCTCAATTGAGGAATATCTGCATTCTACATCAGTTAGTACTCTACTTAGGTAGTAGACAGCCTGCTCCTTTCCATGTTCATTGTCTTGTGCGAGCATACTACCAATTGATTCTTCTGCGGCCGATAAATAAAGCTTTAACGGCCACTTCTTTCTTAGAGGCATTACAACCGGGGGGTTTGCCAAATACTCTTTTATTTTGTCAAAGGCTTTCTGATAGGATTCGTCCCAATGAAATTTCTCATGTGACTTTAATTTTACTAAAGTCGAAAAGACATGCACTCGGCCAGCATGGTTAGAAATAAATCTTCTAAGAAAACCTACCTGGCCGAGGAACCTTTGTACTTGTTTTTTGTTAGCTGGGGCCCTAGCATTTATAATAGCTTTGACCTTGTTCTGATCAACTTCAATACCTCGTTTATGTACCAAGAACCCTAAGAAATTCCCGGCTGAAACTCCAAATGCACACTTCAATGGGTTCATTTTCAATTTGTGAATCCTCTTCCTTTCAAAGGCTCTTTTCAAGTGTTCCAAATGCTGTCTCTTGGCCGATGATTTCACAACTACATCATCTATATATATTTCCATGAATCGGCCAATCATATCATGAAAGATAGAATTCATTGCCCTTTGATAAGTAGCCCCAGCATTTTTTAGGCCAAATGGCATCACAATCCACTCAAAAGTACCAATTGACCCAGGACATCTAAAAGCCGTTTTATGAACATCTTCCTTGGCTAAATAGATTTGATTATAACCTGAATGGCCGTCCATAAAAGACAATATTTCATGCTTAGCGGCCGAATCAATAAGTTGATCGGCCACAGGCATTGGATATTCATCTTTTGGAATGACATTATTTAAATTACGAAAATCCACACAAACTCTAAGTTTGTTATTCTTCTTCATTACCGGAACAACATTAGACAGCCATTCAACATACCTAACTGTTCAAATAAATCCTGCCTTAAGAAGTCTCTCAATTTCTTCATTAATTTTGAGCATTACTTCCGAAGACATCCTTCTTGGTAGTTGTTTATATGGCTGAAAATCTTTCTTGATCGGTAATCTATGTTCTACCAATTTTCTAGACAGGCCAGGCATCTCTTCATAACTCCAAGCAAAGCAATCATTATATTCATTTAATAATTTAATCAAATCGGCCTGGAATTTAGGCTCAAGCAAAGCACTAACAAATAATGTCCGATTATCTTTTTTAGTACCAACATTTATTTCCAATAAAGGATCTTGCACCTCTGCTTTATTATCTTCCATCCTGGAAGGGGCTGACTCCAAATCTTCAAGTTGGATTGCATCCAGCTTTTCGAAACCTTCTTCAATTATATCGGCTGTGCTGGCCGATACCTCTTCATATAGCTGTTCTTCTCTGGCCAGTCTCTTCTCAGCCAGATATGCTTTCAGTCTTATGCAAGCGGCCCTGAAAGCTTGCCGCTTCTTTTCTTCATTGGTTTTGTGATCCATCAGTAACATTTTCAATGTCCTTGATGGTCGACCTGAAAATATCAATTTTCGGCCGAGCTGCTTCTGACAATAATTCTTTAATATCAGCATTAATTAAATTCTTCTTCATTGTTGCCGCTGCTGGTCGTCCCATCCTGTTAATGCCAACAAATTTGATAGGTACAACAGTTTCATCATAAAATGCAGCCTCAGCCGAATACACCCTAGCTATAAAGGGTTTGTTATCGGCCTCAACAATTTTTACCTCATTTCCATCCCCAAAAATCAACATTTGATGCAAGGTTGATGGGATGCACATGTTAGGATGAATCCAATCTTGGCCTAAAAGGAGATTATAGGCCGCGGTTGAATCAATGATAAAGAAAGCCGTAAAGGATGTCTTACCGCCAATAGTAATTTCCAAAGGTAGAATACCTTTGGTGTTACTAGATCCTCCATTAAAACCACTGATGGCCACGTCGGTTGGAACTACATCGTCCATGGTTTTACCCAATTTCTTCAAAGTAGTTGCTGGAATGACATTCACCACCGAACCATTGTCAACCAAAACCCTATTGATTGGCTAACCCTCAACCCATACTTTAACATACAATGGCCTCAACTGCTGTGTCATGGACAAAGGTGGTTTTTCGAAAATGATTTTATCGGCCTTAGATGATTGATCCTGAGAGATCAATCCTATCCCGGCCGATGAACTTGTCGAATCGTTCTTAATTTCTGAAGATTCAGCCTTTTCTTCTTGCTTGGCTGACTCAACATCCCTGTTCATCGTTGGTTCTATCCTTGCTTCAAACACAGAAGGCAAAACAAATACCATGTTACAATTTACCTTATCCGGGAGAGAACCAAAACGAATTCTGTACTTGGCCGCATGCTTTGGATCCTGGTTGGGCTGATCATCTTTTTCTTCATAAAAGCATGCCTTATTCTCAATTGATGTAGCGACCTCCATGTCTTCAGCTACCACTGGTTCATTTTTCCTTTCTAGTTGATCATGGTCGATCTTGTCTTCTTTCCTTTTGAGTTCTGCATTTTTCCTTTGCATCCCCCTTTTTTGGGTACGTGTAGGAGGCTGCTTAGGAAACTTTGGGTGACTTACTCGAGTCCATTTGCCATGGTCAACCAAAGGAGGTCTAACCGTTCTTACACGGCTAGATTCTTTTCCTTTTTGAACCCATATTTCTGACTGAATTGTTGGTTTCCTTTTGAAACTAGGATAAAAATGTTGTTCAGGACTCTATCGGCCACCGATGACCGAATGATTCTCACTGCCCTCGGCCCATTTTCACTAAATATTGATCGATTGATTTCTTCATGATTCTGTCTAGGCTGATGGCCTAACCTTTCATGGACACTGTGCTTTCTGGTTGATTGGAAATAGCCCCTCTTGTCTGAGTCATTTCTTCGGCCTTTGCAATTTGGACAACAACCATGGTTGATGAGGGCAATTTGAGCTTCTCTTAACTGAATTTCCAAGTCCTTAACTTTCTGCTCATTATTACTGGCCGATGAACTACCAAGAACTTTTGGTAATCTTTCCTGTCTACCATTATCAGCTGCTTTTTCAATTGCCAGGCTGATTACATTGGTACTAACAATATTAGGAAATGGATCGCCATCGACCCCCACTACATCTGGCTTCTTTTCAGGGAATTTCAATACACCTTCATCGATAGATTTCTGCAATACATTTCTAAATACATAACAATTGTTAGTAGTATGATTCCATGAATTATGAAATTTGCAGAACTCTCTTCCTTTTAAGTCATTGGTCGATGGTATATTATGTCCTTTTGGCAAAACGATTTGTTTGTCGGCCAACAAATGATCAAAAATTTGTTCTGTTTTGGCCAGATCAAACGTATAAACCTTACCAGTATCAGCCGTACCCTTCCTGGCCGATGAAGTCGATGGCTGAGTACCACTGGTGGATACATTTGGTTTTGTTAAAACGTCACATACATAAGGTTTCTTTAGAATGACTTCGGCTAAATTAGCTTCAAAATCTTCCTCTTCAACCACATCAGTTGAATAAACTTCATAGTTGGGGTCCCTATAGTACGCACCTTTAGAGGAATTTTTTCGTTCTTTCTCCTCTTTGAGAACCAACTCATACCTAGTAGCTTTCTCGGCCAGGTCATACATGTCACGAAATGGAACTCCTTCAAACCTCTTCCGAAGTTCAAAATCAAGGCCGTTCAAAGCCAAACGAATGTACTCCTGTTCTGGAAGAGGTACACGACATCTTAATCTTGCTCTCCTGAATCTTGCAATGAATGTCTCGACCGATTCACTAGGCAATTGACTTAGCCTGGATAAATCGGCCAGAGTAGGTTCTGTTTCCGTACGGTAGAACTGATTGTGGAATAATTCCTCCATCTGTGGCCAATTAAAAACAGAGTTAGGAGGTAGACGAATATACCATGAAAAAGCTGCCCCTGTCAAAGAGTTAGGAAAAAGTCTCAATTTCAACCATGGGCTAACACTGGCCTCTCCACATTGAACCATGAATCGGCCAATGTGTTCCACGGTCGATTGATTCCCCTCTCCACTAAAGGTTACAAAGTCAGGGACTTTATATCCTCTAGGGAACTCAACTTGGTCTACCACTTCTGGATAAGGAGTTCTATAAATTGGTCGACCGGCACCTCTAAGTTCCAGGCCATATTCTTCTGTGAGTAAATTAGCTAATTGTCTTCTATCTAACATGACTTGAGGTGGCTGATTTAATATTGGTGGTACCTAATTAAAAACTGGCGGCTGATTAGCCGCTGGTTGATAGCAATTCGGCCAATCATGTGGCTGATTAGCCATATTCTGCCCCCCGAGCCCTACCTGTGGCGGCACATGAGTATACAGTGGGTTCGGTGGCCTCCACCTGATCTGATTGCCCCCCGAGTTCAAAGGCATCCGAGGAGGGTTTGGTGGAATTACCTGTGGCCGCGAACCTGCTACTGGTGGCTGATTAGAACCTGCCAACGTAGGCTGAGGATAGCTTTCTGCCCAGGTGAGTAGCGTATGAACCGGCTGACTTGATGTTGCACCTGGTTGGAGTGTCACTACTGGCGGCCATGGCTGTGATGTTTTAATGGCCCTCTCTGGCCGAGCAGCTTGTGATAGATTCGGCTGAGAAGCCGATTCCTGATTGTTGGAGCTGCTAGCTTGAGTCGGCTTGTTCAAAATAAAGGCTGAGAGTTGGGACATATTTTCATGCAAGTCGTTGTAGCGTGCTCCCATCCTTCCCATTGCATCTACCAAGGAGCTAACCTGTGCCTGAAGTACGGCTAACTCATCAGTAGGACCTGCTACAGAGTTTTCAGCCTGTACTAGCTGATCGCCTTCCTCCAAATCTTCATCAGTAGCCACGGCCTTAGAATTTTTTGTGGGCCGCGGCATATTTGCCTCTTTTATAACACTCTAGTAGTGGTCCCACCGGGCGTGCCAAAACGTGTTCAAGTGGTTTTTGTTCCCTACGCCGGTCGATGGGCTCTTCGCGGGCGTGCCAGAGTATTTGTACAAAATTCCCAAAATATGTAATTGAACACCAGCCTATCCCTTTTTCCGAAGGCTGACTCTCAGGCAATTGTATGGGAGAGAGACTAGTAAGAACTCCCAGCAAGGTTCTTTTATGCCTTGTTTGTAGCAAGGACTTTTTAGAGTGTCTAAAGAAATGCAACGGCTGATGAATGTTTGAATGGAATGGCCAAGTGAAGACAGGCAGCAAGAACTTAATCGATCACCGGCCGAACATGATGGCGAGAACTTAATCAATCGCCATCAGCCAAACACAATGGCAAGAATTTAATCGATCGCCACTGAAACGTGATAGCAAAAATTTAATCAATTGCCATCAGCCAAGTAATGACAAGAATTTAATCAATTGTCACTACGATACAATGACAAGAATTTAATCAATTGCCATTGAATTGAAAGCCTAACTAAAATTGTGTAATTAAAATTGGCATAATTGAAATTGAAAGAAAGTAAATGGCTGAATCGAAATAGTTGATGAGGATCTAATCAATTGCCATTAAATTGAAATAAAGAAATTGATAGGAAAATGACGTAGAGTCAATTGAAAACATTTTAGATGAAATGCATGTTTTGTGGTGGTGCTGGACAATTGGAATAAGATTACATCTTTCCTATTTATAGAATTCTTTCTCAACTTATTTTCCTAACTTCTTGCTAGAAAATCTCCCATTCCCTTGATTTTCTTCACTTTGTTATTCAAACTAGGTCAAAATCCAATATTCTATTGCTTCTTATCTTGTCTTGCTCCTTGCTTCAATAGGAAAATTCTTGTTGAAAACTCTCTTTGAGCTAGTCAAATGTAAGTTGCTAGAATGTTGCTGAAAAGTTGTTAAGTTCTAGCAACTTCCTTTTATAAACTTGGCAACCGTGTTCTATCCCAAGTGGCCCATCCTTTAGTGCCATGTCAAGGCCACTTGTCACAATTAGATTTGTTCACTTCATGCTGCCAACCTTCTATACATGTCTTCAAAGCTTTCCTTCTTTCATCAAACTAAACTTCCTATTTTATAGGAATTTAGTTATTGAGTTTCATCCAAACTCTAGCCTTTTCCTTTTCTGTTAACAGCCCATTTTGAAAAAAGTCAAATGTGAGTTGCTATATTTCAGCAACTGCCATATCATTAGGTGGTTGAAATATATCTTTCTATATTTGCTCCTAATATTTTCAAACTGGCCGATCCCTTTGACTCTATATTAGAAATACTTATTCGCTCTTATTGGTCCACGTCATCGCTGAGATGGCTGCCAAGTTTTGATGCCAACAGTTTCACTATACATTGTTGATCTCTTTGCCATTTTTTCTCTTTTCCTTGCCATTAACCTTCCCTTGTGTAATTTTGGCATGAGGATGTTTTTGGTTTAATAGAAATGGAATAGATTTAGGATGACACTTGAATTTGAAGAACCCTATTGACATATTCCATGGAACTTTTTATGTATCTATTAGCTATATCGTAGCCATATAAGAAAATGTACAAATGTTCACCTGCTTGCTAGTGTAGAAAGAATTAATCCACCAATTAAATCCTCACCATTGAATGGACCAATTAACCTTCCCTTGTGTAATTTTGGCATGAGGATGTTTTTGGTTTAATAGAAATTGAATAGATTTAGGATGACACTTGAATTTGAAGAACCCTATTGACATATTCCATGGAACTTTTTATGTATCTATTAGCTATATCGTAGCCATATAAGAAAATGTACAAATGTTCACCTGCTTGCTAGTGTAGAAAGAATTAATCCACCAATTAAATCCTCACCATTGAATGGAGAAACATAAACTGCATTTTTAACTATTCAATAAGATTTGACGGCTAATATATGATGTGTACATACATTTTTTTTGCACATAAGAAAACAAGTGAACATGCCGATAAGAAAATGGTAGCCATTCCAAAATAGAAATTTCCTTTTGAGAGGATGACGTCATACCAACTATGCAATTTTAAAGAGGTGAATCCTTTAAACGAGGTTGAAGTCATACCAAGCAAAAGTGTTACCCTGTCTTCACTCTAGTACTACATTGAACCTTTTCACAACCATACCTTTTAAGAACAGTGAAAATTGTAAATGCACATCATCAATCTTATTGAATGGCTTGTAAACAATGAATGTTGTGTTTAGAAACACCAAATTAGTATTTTGAAATTAAAATTAGAGAAAATTTACATTGAATTTTAAACTAAATTTACTCAAATTTCAAATTTACTGTATCAATTTGCTGCTTCACCCGAACATAGCTAAAGCGTTCTTGAACATCTTATGAAAAATTTTCTTATGATTTAGCGCGTTCTTGAACATCTTATGAAATTTTTTCTTATGATTTAGCACCACCACCCCTAACTTTTTGAGTACTTCACAATCAAGGTGACATTCATGAGAGCCATTGCAACAAGAAAATTTTAATTGCTCCGAATTCAGTAACAACATGATATCACGCACTAATTATATACGGACATATAAGTAAGAAAATATCTATTTTGATGTGTCAATGAATAATTAGTGGGTGATACCATATAATCACTATATTCGGAAGAATTAAGTTTTTCTTTATCTTAATAAATTCATTAAAAAAAAAATAGCACATTAGAATAGGACAACCCCACTCTCTCATTCGGACCTTGGGCTCTGGAGTATCATGGCTCAAAAATTAACCAATAAATTTCACCTCCCTTTTCTAAAATTTGTGAATATCTCACGTAGACCTCACGCATGTTTCATAATTTCATTTATAATGTCCAACTTAATAACGATGGTGTGTTATTTTAGTATTTTATAACTTTTGTTTATGAAAGATCTGCTGTCATTTTAGGCTTTAAAATAGTAAAAGACTAATTATATGAGTAGATTTTATTTATTCTCGTCCTATGCCTAGCAATAAGGAAGATTCTGTTACATAAATCATAACTTTATAAGAAACAAATTACAAAACATAAAAAGGTCCACGTGGAATTTTTTTTTTTTTTTTTTTTTGGATGATAAAACAAACGCATACATACATACTTTTTTGCCCAAGCCCGAGTTCAAATCCCTCCCTCCTTTAAAGACGAGGAGGTTATGGGCCCAAGGCCCTTTGGTGGTCCACGTGGAATGCTAACATACCTCACGAGGAGAGGTAAGTGAATGTACCCGATAAATCCTCTCCTAACCTGAATCCGAAGTACGGTTAGACCATACCTTTATCCAGTCGGAGCCTCCTTACGGGTTTTTGCCCGCGTCAGCCACCCGCCAAATATATAGTTACGACTGAGCAGTGCAGTGAAATCCCGAACATGGAGTCGTTACCGTACGCCGACGTCGATTTCAGCTTGAGAGCTCTGGCCGGTCGGGCAGAGGGTTTCGGCCGCTTTGCCATCGGCGGCCTCCACGGACCACTCTATTACGTCACTACTTTGGCCGGTTCTCTCCCTTTCTCTCTCTTTACATGTCTTTGTCCTTGTCGCCTTTTAGGGCTAGGTTTAGCTTTCCATTTCAATGTTTCAGTATATATATGTCAATATGTGTGTGTGTGCATATAACACGTTGACACCCAATGTAAATTTGTGGATGTGTTTATGCGGAAAAAGGAAAGAAAAAGGTTTTTGTGGATGATGATGTTTTTTTGGATGCACAAAAGAAATGAATAATTGAATTATTTAATTTTTGTTTATATGATTTTCCATTTACCGATGTCCTCATAAGAAGTGCTATTTGTGTGTTTGGCAATAATGATACTTGTATGTAAAGTGTATCCTCAATTTAGGGCACATCTAAAAAAATTCTTACTATGTTCATTATTGTCAACATGTAATTTTGTGATTATTTTTTTGATAGTTTTTTAGCAATTAACATTTATTTATGGTAATTGGGAGGAATAGGAAGTGGACTGCTTGTGCAGTCAAATCTGTTTTTTTGGATTGCCATAGGCATCTATTACTTTCAATCCTGATAGTGATAATCTGGGAAGCTTATGTGTTGGTTTTGGTAATATTGCATGGCTTTAAGAAGGTTTTCGGATTTATATATTAAGTTTGTGTGATGTATTCAATGCCCATGTTTCTGTTTGTAGATGATGGGCCAGGTTCACTTCGGGAAGGATGTCGCAAGAAAGAACCACTGTGGATTGTGTTTGAAATTTCAGGCACAATTCATCTGTCATCTTACTTGAATGTGTCATCTTATAAGACAATTGATGGTCGTGGCCAGCGGATAAAACTCATGGATAAAGGCTTAAGACTGAAGGACTGCGAACACATAATTATATGCAACCTGGAGTTTGAAGGTGGTAGAGGGCATGATGTTGACGGCATTCAAATCAAACCAAATTCTAGGCACATATGGATAGACCGTTGTAGCCTGCGTGATTATGATGATGGACTTATAGATATAACACGACAAAGCACAGATATTACAGTTTCTAGGTTGGTCAATGCTCGCACATTCCACAATTTAATTGACTATTGCGAGTAAATGATGGATTGTGATGATTTCTTTCACTTTTTGCACCAGGTGTAACTTTACACAACATGACAAGACAATGCTCATCGGAGCAGACCCCTCTCACATTGGCGACAGATGCATAAGAGTGACCATTCACCATTGTTTCTTCAATGGTACACGTCAAAGACACCCTCGTGTTAGATTTGGAAAAGTTCATCTGTACAACAATTACACCAGAAATTGGGGCATATACGCCATCTGTGCTAGTGTAGAGTCACAGGTAAATGATGATTTGGTTCTTTCTTATGTGGATGGACCATTGTGGTGATTCTAACTACAGGATATCTTTTACTTTTTTCCTTTTGTTTCTATTAGATATACTCTCAATGCAACATCTATGAAGCAGGACAGAAGAAGAAAACTTTTGAATATTACACAGAAAAGGTAAATTGACTTTTGCTTTTTGTTACATAGCTCAAGATTTGTGTGGTCATTTTCATCTTTTGTTTGACTTACAGACTGTGTAGATGTGATAATAAAACTTATGTGGACAAATTTCATATTCAATTTTGTTGTCATATCAGCTGAATTTCATTTCTAGACTGGACAAGAAACATAATTTACATGGTATACTGGACCTATGTTGTAAAACAACTGTATACTTTAGTTAGTGACTCTTGCTCTATATGAGTCAATGCAATTTCGCAATGGGAAATTCTGCCACTTGACTGCCCATCTCAGCTACAAATTAGCATTGAATCAGAATTTTAAGTTATTTTGGATGTAAATATTGAAGATTTAATGGAGGAAAATCTTTCAGTAATCGATGTTGTTTCCTATTATTGAAGATTTGGTGTTACTAGAGGAATCGGTGAAGAAAAATCCTCATTGTTTCCTATTTTCTAATTCTTTCCATTCTCATAATTTCTTCTCCTATATTAAGGAGTCTCCACCATTGTATTATATATGAACTGAGAGAGTATTATAAAAGTGATGTAACCCTTCGAGCTCTTTGTGCTGTGGATGTAGGCACTAGTGCCTGAACCACGTAATATTTGTGTTCTACTTGTTTTATTTATTTCTTTGCTTCCGTTTTATGCTTTACAACATGGTATCAGAGTCTAATTTCTCTTCCTAGGTTCGGACCCCTATTTTGGGGTATTCCCTTAGCATCTGAAATGTTGCTAAGGGTTTCTTGGTGCTATTTGTGACTTGTATGAGCTGCCGGTTTGTTCGGCAGTAATGTTCTTCTTCTTTGCCGTGTCTTCGGCAGTTTTTATCAACTTGTTGGGGCTGCCGGTATGTTCGATAACATTGTCCTCGCCTTTGCCGTGTCTCCGGCAGTTTTTGTTGACTTATTTGGGTTGTCGGTGTGTTCAGTAGCATTGTTCTTGGTCTTCTCTCCTCTTTTCATCATTCACACTTGTTGTTACTCGTCATCTCAATGGCAAGTTGGGCATTCACCCTCCAACTTGAGGGAGAGTATTGAAGATTTAATGGAGGAAAATCTTTCAGTAATTGATGTTGTTTCCTATTATTGAAAATTTGGTGTTACTAGAGGAATCGGTGGAGAAAAATCCTCATTGTTTCCTATTTTCTAATTCTTTCCATTCTCATAATTTCTTCTCCTATATAAAGGAGCCTCCACCATTGTATTATATATGAATTGAGAGAGTATTATAAAAGTGATGTAGTCCTTCGGACTCTTCGTGCCATGGATGTAGGCCCTTGTGGCTGAATCACGTAATATCTGTGTTCTACTTGTTTTATTTATCTTTTCGCTCCCGTTTTATGCTTTACAACAGTAAATGACTTAAAAATTAGATTAAATCTTCTCCCAACTGTATGAGTTGGCTGCACAAACACTGATTTTGTTCACACCGCCTTAACTTCTCAATTAAATGATAAGAAGTCAGGTTCTTTTACTTCTCCATCCTACAATTTTCAAGGTTTCTTGTTGTTCTAGAGCCTTCAATGTAAATCACATTTCTTTTCAGTGGCACAGGATTTTTTGCATTTCTTAGTTGTCACTGTGCAATCTTTGCTACTTTCTCTCATCTTTCACTGTCACCCCAAGTTGTGCTACTTATCAATATCTATCTACATACACAGGAATTTTTTTATTACCTTTTCTTGCATACTAAAATCTATCTCATCATTTTTATTTGTGTATTACATAGTGCTTTTTGTTTGTTTTAATAATTTCAATTTAAATAACGAAGTTTATATTTCAATTTCTTTTGAGAATTCTTCCTTCAGTTAGATGTGTTGTTCTGTAATACCGCAAGGTTCCACTCCTGTTAATCCATATAGTTGGTGATGTTCTATTTTCAATTTTAAGCCTTTGTCACTACCATGATTAGATATTATCTCAAGTAGAGAGAAGCTATCAGTTGGTTTTTAACTTGGTAGAGCCTTAGAAACACCTTATTCTAGGTAAAAAATTTGATATGTGAATGAAAACATTTAGGCATTTTCTAGGAAAGTAGGTTGAGGATACCCTTAAATTTTCCCCTCTACTGCTAATATCTTTAGTCTGTTCCAAAAAATGCTGTAGGGTAGCTTTGAGTAGTGGTAAGACTGTAAGAAGTGCTGGCTTATCAGTCAGCTACATTTTTTAAAATTTGTTTATTTATTTTTTAGTTGTGTCGCCAAACTACAAAATGGTGGATCCATCATAGCCTGGTTTTAGTCCATGTAGCCTCGATCAGTGACCAGAAAATGTTACAACCAAATGACGTGAAGTTTCAAGTTGAAGGTGTTTGATCAATAACAAATATAAAAACCATTTAATCTTTTGGTCCACTAAGTATAGTCATTTCACAGCTTAAGGTTAATTTTGGTAATTAAATGCTATTGTAAGGTTAACAAAGTTATTTCACATGGAGGGATGGACATTTTGGTCGGATCATGTATTTTTTTAGATGGAATTAACGGTTTTTTGGATGGAGTGGAGTATTTGTAGCAAGTGAACAAACGTTAAGGGAACACGATGCAAGATTTTTGAAAAGTTTCAGCACTGTGTAATTAGAGCAAACCTCAGGGAGGTCAACTTATTTAACCCTATTACACTTACTGTGTAATTAGAGCAAATCTCAGGGGAGGTCAACTTATTTAACCCTATTACATAAGTGCTTCCTATGGATAATTTTGTAAAGAGGTAAAAGCTGGTATTATTTTCTGATTACTTGGCCTCTCCAAATTTTCTAATGCAGAAGTATATGCTGATTATATTGTATTATGGGTCCAGTTTAATGGTACTCCAATCTTACTGACTGATGACATAAATTGTTACTATTGCTGGTTGTGACGGTTTCTAGGCAGCAGATAAGGAAGTGGCAAAGTCTGGCTTGATAAGGTCTGAAGGGGACCTGTTCCTGACTGGAGCCCGAGCACACTTGTTAACAGGGACTGGTGAAGAATGCATGTTCCATCCCAGTGAATATTATCCAACATGGACAGTTGAAGCTGCCTCCGATTCTCTCAGAACTATTCTCCAGATCTGTACAGGTTGGCAATCCATACCAAGACCAGCAGAGCAGATAATGGTTGCATAGCACTCGAACAATAACACCTCCTGGACGTACATGTTCTACAATGTAAATCTCTCAGCTCATAATTGTCCTGCAGACTTGGAAAGGTTAGATGCAGACGTTATCATGTCAACAAATGATGAATTTATACCATCAGAAGCGGTGAAAACAAAATAAAAAATATCAGGCCCATCTGGTGTTCGAAACACAGCCTTGATTTCTGCCATTAAAAAAATAATAATAAATAAATAAAATAAAATAAATTATTACGTGATGGCAGAAATCAGGGTGTTGTTTGGGACACCAGATGGACATTTTTTAATTGTGTTCTCACTGTTTCTGATGGTATAAATTCGTTCTTTTGATATTAGGATCTCACGGCTCCAACATTATGCTGCTGATATTAATATTATTATCTCATATGATCTATATTATGAGATTCAGAGCTTTCTTGATGGTTATCAATTGTGGCATTCTATATTTTTGTCTCTCCAGTTTCTTAATATATAAAATTGATTATTTTCTTCTTTTCAGTGGTCCTTTTACCTACTTTCTATTTAAGCTCGTGACGTTACTTGGAAAGTGGATTGCACAAATTTTCTTATCGACTCTTATAGGCCTCTAATTTAATTCAAATTAAGCCTGTTTACTCCTTTAAATTATTTTCCGAGATTTAAAACTAGGCTAAGTAAAAACAATGAACCACGTTGATGATAGATAACAGTTTGAAATAATTACTAGTGTTTTCTTTCCCTGCATAACAACCCACTGGCTTCTATACAGAAAGAGATGTAATTAACTCCAAAAGAAAAGGAGTATATGGATATGAAATTTGAAACATAGCTGAAGTACTGCCCATGAAAACTGTAAACCTTGGTGTCTTATTGTATTGTAACACCTAGGGAATACATCGTGATACACGCGAATGTGATGACGAGAATGATGACGACGAACTCCTACTCCCTGAAATGGAAGTTCCATGGAACAAATCTGACAAATAATTCCCCAAATTATCTGGCGAATACCTCACCAACACCTCAATACTCTTCTCCCCACTCAAAGTCAGCAAGTATGTATCATAAAACCCGGTATATGCAGGCACAAGCTTATTTGCAATTGATACTTTTATCTCATCCCTTAGCTTCCTCTCTGGTACAACCCATGATGTCTGTTTCCGATATGCCTCATCAAAAGCTGAATTGAATTGGATAAAACACATCTTCACTGTCTCCGGTGACATTGCTGTAGTTAAATTTTCTGGGAGGGACTGATACACCTTACTCCATGCCATTGTTTCATAATTTGCTGCATACAGCTTCACCTTGTTTTCATGCTTTAAAACCCAGTAATCGCCTAGCAGGTACTTGAGGTTGGTTGTGCGGACCTTCTCAATAATGAATTGAAGATTGTTGGCGAGAAAGAGATATGTCAAAGCTATGTCATTGTAGAGCTCGGCTTTGCTGTCAAGTTTGCAAAGAAGAACAAGTATGATCCAGGCGAGACGTAAGGACATGGATGATGTCGGATTCTCATCACAATTTGGACTGTCGAAATACGACTCCGGCAGCGGTGATTGTGTCAGCGATGTTGAATCGGCGATAATGTCAGTGAGGACCCCACTACAATTGGCAAGTAAAGATATGTAATTCATCACAGATACTGTCAGCGGATGAATTCCGCCACCTGGAATCGCTGTTTTCAACGAGTTCTTTTGGATCGATGACTCAAATTCCAATAGAGTTGTTCTGACCGCATCACCAAGTTTAAGGTATGAGTTGTTAGCTTGTAATTTAACTTTGGAGATGGATTCAAATGAGAAGACTGATTCAATCTCCAGCCAGAGATCAGAGATTGAATCGTACAAGTCTATAAGCCTGAAAAGTTTCTCTGGTGATCTTTTACTCTTCGATACAAGTTCTGGAAACTTGAATAAATTGATAGCTCCTTCTTTCACTATGTGGCTGAAACAGGATTCTCTGATCAAATCGGATGCAGAAAACACATGATCGCAGAGAAACTTTTCGCCGTGGAAGAGTGTTTTCATGGCGATCTTCACCACATTCAGCCAATTCTTGGTGTGCTTCTCCAGGACGTCTGAGTTCATCTTGTTGACTTTGGAAGAGCTGTACCTTTCAATCCCAAGACGGTACAGTGCTTCATCGACAATCGACTTTCGAATGATTGTATATATCTTCACACACTCTTTGCCATAACCAGAGCTGATCATACAATAAGCAATTGATTTAAGATCAGACATGGCAAGCTCTGAGAGCCGTTCAACCTCAGATATCGATTCACTTGCTGTCTGAACCTCCTCATCTGATCCAACATCAGCTTCATCATCAGAGTTGCTCGATCGTGACTGTCCTGACATGCGTGATGATCGGCTAGAAACTGATTCAGGTTCGAGATACTGGCGATTGACTGTCAAGAGCTGATAAAACTCCTTCTCGAGGCGTTTCATGGCTATTTGCATCAACCTTTGCGGGAGTGAGAGCTTGTCAGAACCTGAATCCTCTGAGATCAAGAAATGCATGGTCCTTCGCAGGTCCTTGACGCATTTGAGGAACGCTTTGGCTTCTTTCCGGTTATCTTGAAAAAGATAAACGAATTTATGGTATGAAGCAGAGTTCGGATCCCATTTCATGATCATGGTCTCGGCGTTTTTGATGTTCTCTTCCATCATGGCTTCAGATAAGGTGTGGAGAGGTGAGGAAGGAATTTTAGGTACTGGAAACGAAGAAGAGAACGAAGAGAGTGAACTCGAGGTTTTAGAGAAAGAGAATGGAGTGGGTACTCGTTGGTGGGTCATCGGCGATATCTCTCTTTTAGGGTTTTCAATAACTCCCATTTTAAGTTATCTGATGCACAAGAGAACTCAAAGATTGCAGAGTTCTTTGTGAATATTGGTGAGAGTTTGTGGGGCTGAGTTTAAATAGAGGAGGGAAAGCTGTAGTTTCCATTAGGGGAAGCGAGAGTTGACTTGGCATGTGGGACCTTATAGTGATTGACTGACTGACTCAGTTAGCTGTATACATGTCAGGTTAAATGGATGATTACGTGTAGTATTGGACGATTGACAATGACGATCAAAAAAATTATGAGGTTGCTGTAAATTTGCTTCACACATCACACTTGTTTTCAAATGAATTTCTCGATTTTTCCCTAGAGAAGAGAAAATTGTGGGTAGTAAACCTTATAGTTTCTCGAGTTCAGACAAATACCTAAAAAATAATAATAGGTCAGGCCTAGGAAGTTTTCACTCAGTAAAAACTTTGAAGTTTTTGAAGAAGAAGAACATCAAGCGTGTCACATTTACGCCGCCTTCACTCACCATTAGAGATCAAGCCCCCTGCCGGCCTTCGTTCAAAGATACATTTAAGCTTTCTTTAAATTTATGAAAAACAAAATTTATGATTCTCTTCATGGCTGCATGTGTGCAAACTTGGAAACGTTGTGTGTGTGTGTTCAGCATCCTAGCTGCAAATATGCATAAGATGGTCATAATCTACATGTTGACAGGAAGCCTCTTATTTTTTAGATTAATTTTGTTTCAGGCTACCATTTACCAATGAGAATACTGATCTTGTTTTTTATAAATTTGTTTGTTGAATAATCTTATTTTTTTAATTAAAAAAAGCACTTACTAAGAAAAATATCTTATTTTCTTAAACTTGCAGGAATGAGAATAAATATGAATGATTTATTTATATCTGGTGCAAGAATAAATCAATGTCAATAACTCTTAGTAAAATTCAGCTTGTGAAACTCCAACCACGGGATATTTTTTATTTATTTTTTGGATCTGGTCTCTTGTTCATATCCAATTGACTTGATTTTTATATGATCCAATAGTCAAATTGACCCAAAAAAAAAAAAAAACATTAGAGAAGAAAGGAAGGACGTCATAATTATTACGTTTAATCGGCTCCTTGCATTTAAAATTGGAATAAATTTAATTGAAATTTTGCATTAAATTTTTTTCAATTCTAAATATATATGTGTGTGTGTGTTAAAATTTTCTCAGAGTAGATAATTTGGTTCCCCAATCTAGAAGAGGACTGGACTTGTAGTATGCGTCAGCTGCAAAGACACGTTTAGGTTTTGCTCTAGCTTCTAGCACATATTTAGGTTCTTGAGGAAGAAATGTATCCATTGTAATTTATTATTGAGCATACATTATAATACTTCTAAATGCGTAAATATTCTACACCGTAATACCGGGCCAACCATACATACATACATATATATATATATATATACATACATATATATATATATATATATATATATACATATATAAGTGTAATTCCTATACTAATTTGTCCAGTCAAGCACACAATTCCAATTTGAAATGCACAATTATTAGTGAAGGAGTTCACACATAAGCATACATAGATTTTATATACACATTATACATACATACATACATATTGAGGCACGTAGAAATTCGATCCTAAGCATTAAAATAATTTCATTTATAATTTGTAAAATATTTTTGTTGAAGTCTTCTTGTGTGTGTGTTTTTTGTATGTGCGCACATGGTGGAAGGAGAAAAACCTAGTGTGGGTGTGAGAGGAAGCAACATGGAAGTTGTTAGGAGGAATGTTATTAGTAAACCCATATGCTAATAAATGTATCTTCTTCTTCTAGTCTACCAAGTCGGGCGTCATTTCCAGGTCTTCAATAACCGAAAGATCAGACTAATTCGATCAATGAATTTAACTCGAATTTAGAATGAAAGAAAAAAAATGTTCTAGTTCGACTTATCGAGTAGAAGTCAAGTTACCAACAAAGGATACATTGTGGTACTTCCTCATCTCTCATTGTAGGCGGTCGAGTGTTAAGAGTCTGTATAGGGACAGAGTGAGCGTGTGAGTATTTCTTGCTAAAGTAAAAGTCTTGAGCTTGAACTTTTTTATTTTGATAAATTTCGTGAAAAGATTTGGCTCATGCTTGATAATCTCTACTTATTTAATTGTATCAATTTAGAGTCCCCAGATAAGATTTTTAATCATAGAAAATTACTCATTTCACACCAAAATAATACTTTGGGAAGAAAATAAACAAGTACGAGAAACTAAAAAAAATTTAAAAATTTTCTTTGTTTCTTTATTTTCTAGTTGATTCCATCCAAACGAAGTTTTAAAATAATTCCAAACCGAACCATCACGTGCTAAAGAGGTAGACCAATGAATTCTTTGAACGTGCCTTCCATGCAGAGGAAGGTGTGACTTGAGAAAATGTAGTTGTTAGAATGTGAAAAGTCATGAGGTGGTTCGTGCATTCACTCTGCAGAGAGATCTAGAGAGTGTCTCAAGTGGGTGTGGAGGATGGGGGGCAAATCTACAGTTTGACTGACCCCCGGGGTCTGTTGAGTAACCGAACTTGGATCAATTCTGGTCCAATTTATTTAAACCAACAAAACTTTTAACGACTTTGACTATTTCCAATGGTCCCGTCATCAACACACATTCGGATCACTATAATGCAGTCTGGTCAGCCAACTCAAAAGTCTATGATTTGAGGGCATCACACACACACACACACACACACACACACACACACATATATATTAGAGTACTTCATAATTCACCTCCAAATAAATCTATACTCAAAGGTCTATGATTTGAGTGCATTTTTTTTTTTCTAATTATTAGAGTAATTCAAAGGTTTGAGTGCATTTTTATCTGTTGAGTAACCCAGCATATTCAGTTCATCCGCCTATATGCACCGAGCAATTATCGAGAAAAATTTTCAAGACTGTTCTCAAGAAAAATTCTAATAATTGCGAATTGCGACACATTCGATGTGTTTAGGTCGGCAAAAATATAATATGTTCATAATCATAAGTTATAATTTAGTCCTATTTTTTCACGTTCCAAAGTAAAAGACAGATGTTTCAAATTTTATGGGAGCGAAACGAATATGTGAATTTTTTGTCAAGTTAATATATATATATATATATATATATATATATATATGTCGAGCGTTGTTCATGGAATTAAGAAAGATGTATTGTCCAAAAGCCAAACACCCAAAACAGAGAGGGTTGTGGGGCCAAAACTTCCTCTTTAGGTGTGATAATTTGTGTTTGTGAATCATATTTGTATTGTGTGGATCTAATAGGTTTTTGGTTATATAATTCAACTTGAACATGACCTTTTTTTAATAATCGTGTTCGGAACCTCTTTGTATAAACACAGTATGTTTATTTAATAGGTAACACGATTCGATCTGATTAACAAATAGGACGTGTGACTTACACACAATACAACACGATTGATTTAGAAACATATTTAACACATTTAAATTAAATGAGTAATGTAACTCATATATTAACTTAAATATAAAATGCAAATATAATGAAAAAAAAAAAAATGAAACAATGGATGAGTAAAATTATAAAAAAAAATTAACAAATATGATATCTTCTTGGGCATATAAAAACAAAAATGTCTATAATAATTAAGTTTAAACATGTTACGAGTTTAAGATTAACCGACACGATAATGACATGATTAATTAAACGAGTCAAAAGGACCAAAAATAAGTATACAACACAATTAATTAAACATAGTATACCGGTTAATATGATTATTACACCAATACAATTAAGATTAATCTATAAGTGAATCGTGTCAAATTTATTCATAATGATCAATTTGAAGCTTCCTTTCAAGGTTCAACTTCGAAGTAAAAAAAAAAAAGAAAAAAGAAAAAAAAAAAAGGAATGTGGTCATTTTTCAAACCTTGGGTGCAAATAACAATGTGAACCCTGATAATTTTCATATGGTTGCAATGTTGATTATTGGAGTTGGCAATTAATGATAAACATCATTTTCACAAGAGTCTATGCAGTTATGCAGGGGAATGGAGACTCAAAGTGGAGTCTCCCACTCCAAATGCCCTAAAAATATAGAATAATTGGCCTATGCTCATTGCATCAATATTCTAATATTTACATTAGTCAAAATACTTGAACAAAGGCATATCTATATATTGAGTAAAATGCAAAATTAGAGCCACCTATTAGCTGGCTGAATCTGGAATGTTCTTCATTCACATTAGCCAATGATTGTAAAATATTATTAGAAAGTTCTGTGGAATATTATATAGATATGCCTTTTACTTATAGATAAAAGGCATTCCATCTCCCACCACTGCATTATTGTAAAATTAGGAGTATTACAGTCATCGTAACGTGAACAAATTTAAAATAATTAAATTTAAAAAGGAATGTGGTCATTTTTCAAACCTTGGGTGCAAATAACAATGTGAACCCTGATAATTTTCATATGGTTGCAATGTTGATTATTGGAGTTGGCAATTAATGATAAACATCATTTTCACAAGAGTCTATGCAGTTATGCAGGGGAATGGAGACTCAAAGTGGAGTCTCCCACTCCAAATGCCCTAAAAATATAGAATAATTGGCCTATGCTCATTGCATCAATATTCTAATATTTACATTAGTCAAAATACTTGAACAAAGGCATATCTATATATTGAGTAAAATGCAAAATTAGAGCCACCTATTAGCTGGCTGAATCTGGAATGTTCTTCATTCACATTAGCCAATGATTGTAAAATATTATTAGAAAGTTCTGTGGAATATTATTACAAATTACAATCCCTTCAATAGCAACTTTTGGATATATTTTGCAAATTTAGTAAGGTTATGTTTGTTTGTATAGAATTAGAGTGTAATCAGAAAAAAAATTTGTTCAATTTTCTTAGTTGCTTTTCTCCAATTCCCATTCCGAAGTTTTAATTCTATGTTTACCAAACATTCAAACTTTAACATTACATACTTATGATGTACTTAATTATAGGATCTACATATACATTATGAGGCTGTTGCTAATTAACATTATAAAATAATCGTTTCATGTTACATGTTAACATTATAAATAATGATTTGGAGTTCGAAAGTCAAACAAATTCGACTGATTTATGTGAGTGAGAGCTGACATCATCAAGATATCATTATTATCCTTCACGTTACGATGACTGTAATACTCCTAATTTTAAAAAGATAGTCCTGGTATTTAAACTATTGTTAAAAATTGCTTTTGTTTGTTTCTTTGGTTTG